TGTAAGGTTTATCAAAATTCAAGTCATGATTTGACTTTTAATTTATATATTGAAGAAAAAGAAAAATTAAATATCTTTTAATAACTTTAACAATTAGTTTTAACAATTTAATAGCTAATTTTTATGTAAATTAATTTCAACAAATTATAATTATGTGTCTTGTGTACATTAATGTACATAATTATTTATGTATAGAAAATATATATGTTATTTAATTCAATAATGTATTATACAAAAAAACGTTTAGAACTTCGACAAAAAAAACGTTTAAAATTTTGACTTTTATATAGGAAACTATAATTTTAAAATAAAAATATCACAAAAGAGAAGTTTTTATAAAAAGAAGTATAACATGAACAAAAACGAAAAAGATGATGTGGGACATTTAAAGAATGGTTTTAGAAATTTACATAAGAATGTTTGGTTACTTTTAACGTTTGCGAAATTAAAAGTTGTTAAAATACTAAAGTCTGATTAGAGAAATTTAGTCTTTTAACATTTTTAAATGCTTTTATAGCTTTCAAAGTCAATTTACTAATCATCCCCTAATGTAATTAAAATGATTTTGTGTTGGACAAAGTAACGCTCCTAACTATGACTTTCGAAGAAAATCTTACTCCATCACAAATTGTAAATCTAGAAAAGGTATCAATTTACCAATAAATCGATGTGAAAGATAAAAATCAAGCAAATCGACAAATGAAGTGAGACACAAATACAATAAAACATTAATTATTCTCTCTATATGATTCAAGGTTCTAATGAAATAAACAAAAAGATGCATTCCAACATCTCTATTGAGATAATGTCTCGGTAGAAGTAAAGCATACTAACTTGTCTGATTAATCGATCTTTGCAAACGTATTTTATGCAAAAGAAGACGAGCAATTTTTTTTTAGAAACCGTAGTGAATATTGATAGACATACAAATTAAAAATTTGTATCAAAGATGATATGTTTTTTCATATGTTGTAACGATCTATTTGTTTTTGCATATAACATTATATATGTCCAACAATTTTCTAAAAATGCTTAATCTTCTAACTTAGA